CAACAATTAATACCAACGATGAATGCAAAAAAAGATTTAACGTTTTTTTATGAGATTGAAGGAAGGCTTTTGGGATACTTCGTTTAAAAAGCATTTTGACTGTTGATTCAAATGCAGATATAATCGGTTCCAAATATTTGTCGTTTTGCTTGTTCCTGCAAGGACGATTTTTTATGTTCAGCTATCGACAAAATTTTTTTGTAACTGTTATTTTCTCCTACTTCCGGACAGCTAATCCTCCGATCCTAATTCCTGGCCTCCATTCCATATGTGTTTTAGGCAAAAAATTTGCTACCTTGAATTACTCACTCCATCTATAATAAGCTATGCGGTTTGTACTGTTTTGTTACTAGTTGTTTTTTTTTGGTGTCGAAGGAGTGTTTCAATTTTTCGTTCTCATTGTAGTATAAAGTCTTTTTCGAGTTTCCCCTTAGCGCAAGAATGTCTAGTGGACATTGTGCGGTCTTGTAAATTTCGGCTTCTTATCTTTTCTAGTTGCTAAGTTTAAAGTGTAGGATAAAATTTGAACACTCTCATGCAGTCCTTGGGTGAGTTTTTTGCATTTTATCTAGCAAAATCCATAAAATGCGTTATTTGCCGAGAAATTTTAATACACCATTGCAGATGGATCCATCAATGAATGCATCCTACGGGCTATGCAAACGATACGTGACCAGACTTGCGTCTCGTTCGAGCCAGCATCAGCAAGCACTGCAAATAAGCAACCAATTCTCTTCATGCAATCACCGTAAGTCTGACAATTCATCTCCGAATACAAAGCAGGTGGTTATCAAAACCTTCCGGATAACTGAATTAGAGTTCTGATACTGGAAAAGCAAATATATGGACACTTTTATAAGATAAAATTATATGTCCAACATAGTATTTCTTAGCTTACCTATAGTCACGTTCAGATGTCCAATATATAATATATTTTTCCTATTTGGAATTTACTCACGAGTAGACTGCAACGTTTTTTCCAGGCCACATGTCTTTTTGAAGGTTGTCCGAGTGTCAGTTCCTCCTTGCACTCAAAATTGAAAACCCTACGCATGCCAGGACATTGTCAATTTTTTTTGTGACAAAAACGATTGTATGTATGCCATTAATTATTTTAACGCCCCACTTTCCAAACGTTCGTGAAGAAGTATTCCTATTCCAAGTTTCGTCACATTCCCATTGCATTAAAGCAGTGTGTACCCTAGCTGACCAGTGGCTGCATCCAGATTTAAACATTAAACCTATTCTGTATAAGTCCCAAGAAGCACCTGCGTGTGCATGCGTGAATGACCAATTGCGTGTTTGCTAATGACATTGTATGAGTGCCAAAGCGCGTTCGTATGTGTACATGTATGAGTGTATGTGCACTGGCATGTATGTATCTGCATGTGGGTATGTGTTAAGTTCTGCACTGATTTTCTCATTACTTTTATTCAAAATGCGGGTAGCAGCATATCTGGATGTAAGTGATAAATGCACGCTGAAGACACAACCAGGGATAGGAGATCCTGGCTCAGCTGTGCTTGACATATTCGGCTTCATAGTCATCGTACCGCTAGTCCATGGGAAATCCGGCGATTTTGATAATTACATTGTGGAGGCTCAATATAAGTTCACTAGGAGACTAAAATTAAAGTCCTTCTTGCTAACTAATAGCCAATGGTCAGTGCCTCACTGACTCAACTTTTTATATGCTTTCTTCCTCAGCGTTTACTCTTCCACATACACCGAACAGGCTGTGGGTGCTAATGAAGTGTGCAGCTCAGGGCTAAAAGGCTCGGATTACGTGATAACATCACTAACATGGGATATGCGCACTAACGTCCGAGTGTTCTTGGTATTCTTGGTTGCATCTTTCAACTTGTGCATGCACCTTGACTGATTTTTGCTACGGACAGATGGTGCCAATTTTATTGGTTTCCTGCACCGTTAAGCTGATGTGTAATCCCCTCTCCAAATTATGCAAATCCTGGAAGCGAGAGGCGCATGAAGAGTGCACAACAATTAACTGAAGTACATGTGAGTTCAAAGGGTACTTCACTCAGTCCCAGGTCGATCTGTATTAC